AGATAGGCTTTCTAATCCGAACTATCTAGTCCGTGCCGCGTGTAGCCACGCAGCATGGGGTTCGCACTAGCCAGCTTTTAAAAATGGCGGCGCCGGCTTTATGCTAATGAAGCCCGGGAAATTCAAATCCCGGGCTTCATTAGCAAGTTCGGTATGCATACATTACCCCCCTAGTTCGAACTAGTAGTGTAAACATACCCTAAGTTATTCCTCCTGGGCTCTAAATGGAGATAGCATGTCTACATTAGGGAAGTATGCCTCAGACTAATTTTGCGGCTTTCCTGAAGTGTAGATGTACTATTTCAAAATAAGCTATTTTGGAATAACTATTCCAGAATAGCTTATTTTGAAAGAAATGTGCAGTGTAGACATAGCCTATGTGTGCAGAAGGAGGGATCCTGTCGGGGGGAGTCCATGATTCCACCAGGTGACTGTAATTTGTGTTAATGGCTTTTTTCCTCTGTGAATTAATGATGTAAACCTTCACTTTAACAGAATACCAATAACAAAATAGTCAAAAGTGGTAGAGAGAAGTGAGATCGATGAAGATTCTGCTTTCCTAGCCTTTGTCTCTATTTGTTTCAATGTTGGTTCCTTTTTTTTCTTTTTCTCTTTTAAGCATGGTTCTAGTTGCATTGTATATATGCTAAATGACAACTCTCCGACAGCACTTAGTACAGAGAACTCAGAGAAGGCCTCACACTATAATGTACCCAGGAATTTAAGGACATCATTAAATCTTCCCCCAAAAAACTCTAAGAGAAACACTACACCCTCATTCCCCTGAATCCACCAGGAGACTTTCTACATGCTTCCCAAGATATACACAAACAGGCAAGCCCATCGTATTTGACCATGACACTCTTACTAAAGGAACAAGAAGATACAAAAAATCACCCTGAAATCACTCAACACGAAGGCCTAGCTTCGGCCAGGAGAAGGGTTGGTTTCCTCCAGAAACTCTGCAACATTAACAACCTCCAGAGTAAATATGTGGGGGGACATGAAGGGTCATTCATTATCCCCAATTCCATGGGTGAGCCCAACTGCTCCCTATACGCCCCCACATTGCTCCGGAAAAGGGATTTGTGGGAAAGATGGAGGGGGAGTGGGAAGGGGCAAGAAGAAGGAGGGCCTGTGTTGGGGTGGTGCAGGGAGGAGTCACTTGGGGGGTGGTAATGTGACTAGTGCCCCCCTTTGGTCCCTCACCAGAAGCCACCACTGACAGTCTCCTTTGGAACATCATCCTTGCCACAATGGATGTCACCTTCCTTATACCCCAACATCCCTCACCATGATATACACCCCAAACACATCACCAGCTCATCCATTTCACCCTTATACATAACAATTTTACATTCAATAGCAAATGCTGTGCAAACCACACGAACAGCTGTGGGTACTGGGATGGCTCTTCAGTATGCCAATCTCTTCATGGGCCACCATGAGGAATTATTTCTGGACAATTGTACCACAAAACTAATGGGCATGCCTGAGACAGAGCAATGGTATTTTCATCTTTTGAACTGGCAACCTGAACTCCTTCACAGATTTCTGCCAAAATGTCAGCTACTCCCACCTATCTATGAAATTCTTTCTAGAATTTTCTGACACTATGATCAGCTTCAACAATGGAATCCTAGAGACAACTATGTACACAAGAAACTCACTCCTACCTTCACAGATCCAGTACCTACTAGAGCTGTCAAGTGACCTGCGTTAACGCCTGCAATTAACGCAGGACAGGATTAACGTGTTAACTTTAAAAACTCGTTAATCACAGGCGTTAATGTTGCGCTGCCTCTTTTAAGTACTGCTCCAGCACTTCAAAGGGCAGTGCAAGCAGAGCTGGGTATCAGCTGGGGACTCTTCAAAGCAGAGCTGGGTATCAGCTGGAGCAGCACTTCAAAGGGACTTTGCAACAGCAGAGCCGGGGATCAGCTGGAGTCCCCAGCTGATCCCAGGCTCCTAACATGCTTTCCCTTGGAAATGCCACCGCGGCACTTCCAAGTGGCAGCGCTGCATAGAGTACGGGGTCAGCTGGGGACTTCAGCTGATACTGGGCTCCATAGATCGCTGCCCCATTGAAACGCCACGGCGGCATTTCAAAGAGGAGGCACACGATTAATCGCGCGATTAATTGCAATTAAATTTTGTAATTGCTTGACAGCCCTAGTAACTACCATAAAGGTACAAAGAAATCTGTTTTCTATAGCCATAGAATAAGTTTCAATGAGAAAGTTCAGGATACATACCTTAACACACTTAACACCACCTTCATCAACCAGGGACCCTGCACCCAAATGTACTCAGAAAACCTGGTTCAACATAGAAATAAAACTGTGTTGGAATGCACAATCCTAATTGTCACCTACTACCACATGGTGAAACCTTTATGGGGTATCATTAAACAATTACAATGCATACTCAATGGGGACTTCATCCTGAAAGTAAACTTTCCTGATCTCTTCCTCTGGCCTTCAAAGAACCTTTGAAACTCGTCATCAAAAGCAAACTCCCCACAGACCAAAGCAAAGCAGCATCCCATAACAAGAGATGTAACAAATTGCTCTACCTGATATTTATGCAGATTATGCAAGGAGTGAGAGCTATCTCAGACTTTTGAATTCATTGTCCCCTGGACTGAAGTAGTCCAAATTTGTTGCCATTTAGGACATATTGCATAGTGAATCTTCAGAAAAGCATTTTCACACTGGACTAATCTAAATTAATTAAGATTAACCCCTTCCAAAAGCACTTGGATGGAAGGTACTATTTTCTGAGCAATAAAGATAAAACAGGCGTTTATCTTAGAATAAAATAATTCATGCAAATTGCATGGTTTATCTCTTTCGTTTCAGATGTGTATATGGGCTTTGGAGATAAATTTGACATTACAGGACATGCAACACTATATTAAGGCCACATTCTGCACTGATGCTACCTGAAACACCTTAAAGTTGCAAGACAATGCATATTGTAACTCTTTTGTTTATTTTCTAATCAGACACCTCAGTGGATGTGAAATGATCACATTACTGCAACTACCACATTGTTACAATTTAAAACCTTGTGAATAGAGCTTAACAAATAAAGATGTTAAAGGCCACTAATTATATTATGCCTCTAGAGAGCTGTCAATTTGAGTCTCAGTTAAGATATCCAAATACTTATGAGAGCCAGTCTTTATTAAGGCACTACATGCATCCAGTCTCCTTGCTAGAACAGTTAAACAATTGCCCAATTTCTATATATAACTGGTATACACCAATGAGGGACAGCTTAATACTGTGAATTAATATAGATTGACTGCATTAGGTAAGTTTTATTTGTATGCTTACCAAAGGTTGTTTAGCACAATGCTGATTATTGCATAAAAATGTTGTATCTTTTTAGCTGTTTCAAATGGCATCATGCTGATTATTGATTTAAAAACTTTTCTTCTTGGATGTGAAATTTCTTAACTTGCTGTTGACTGATGAAGTAGCAAAATATTAAATGATTGAGGTATCAAATGCATTAATACAATCAGTGAAGGGAATACAAGTAGGATTAATGTGTTCAAACAAATTTGGAGCAAGTGATCAATGTAAAATGGTTGAAACAAATATATTCACATGCCCAAAATACACAGTTTTCTGTTACCGGAAATGTGTAATACATAAGTAGCTTCTGTTCAATGCAGCTCAATTTCATAATAAAATTTATACTCTATACACAGTATTAAGTTGTTTTTAAATTCTAACAATCTATAGTGGCATGCTGCTGATCCCATTCAATTAACTTTCATTGTTAAAAAAACCCCAAAGAAAATGGGGGGAAACATTAGAAAACCACAAACAGTTGAGCAAAGTTGCATTAAAATAATTTTTAGATAGAAGCAAGGAAATTCTTTGAATGAAGTTTGCTGTTGCACCAGTTTTGCATTTCTTTGACTTCTGTTGCAAACACATGATCCTTTATCTATAGCAGTAGTTTTCAGCTTTTTCATTTGAAAATGGCTACAAATGTCAAGTGGAGGTTCGGGCCCCTTTGGAAATCTTACACATAGTCTGAGGGTCACAGGGGTCTGTAGACCACAGTTGAAAACCACACATTGAAACGTATTTGTTTAGTCCTATCCCTTGAAGATATAATAGTTTTTGTGGTGACAACAATGACCTTACTTTTGTAGTATACAGTGTTGTATCTATATTTGTCCCAGGATATTCAACAGACAAGGTAGGTGAGGTAATATCCTTTACTTGACCAACTTCTAGATATTACCTCACTGCCTTGTTTCTTGCTTTTGTAACACTATCCTAACAGGGATACAGTCACAATTCAAGCCACTTGGCTTAAATTGTGCTGTGCAAATCCCAGTGAGGATTGTGCATCTAATTGCCGCGGATAGGATTGCTGAAAGAGGGGTTTCCCATTTAGGGCTTTGAAACTAAGGATCAAGTTCTTAACCTTAGTGCAATATTGGTACTGATGTCGGATAATTAAACACTTGGATTCCATAACATGCCACCACACTGGCGGGGGGAGGACCTGCCCTTGAAGTAAGGTCATGGTGCGTTTCCCTCTCACTCTCTCTCTCTCTGGAACCTGCAGGTGTATGTATGTGCGGGGCGGGGGGCTTTTACCCTGAGATACCGCCTGGCTGGGGGAACAAGTTGTATCCGAATGACCCTGAATCATCAGGCAGCAGCTTGGCTTGGCGCAAGCGGGACTCGCCCAGTGACACCTTGGTGCGCTCCCTTGTGTGGCAGCAGGTGTGTCCGTGTCTGGGGAGGGGCGCACAACTGCGTGTGCTCGCGGGGGGCTACCAGCGGGCTAACCCACCCCTGCTAACCCAGCAGCAGGGGACAGTGGCGCTGAGCGGTGACAGCCCCAGGCGGGGAAGCAGTGGAGCTGGAAGGGGCAGCAAGAAACGCCAGGGAAAGGGAGGAGCCGGCCGAGGGGACCGAGGGCGCAGCCCCGGGGGCGAGCAGCGCTCCCCGCCCAGCCCGCTGGAGCTGAGGCGGCGCCTGTTGGAGGAAGTTTACGCGCCGAGCAGAGACAACCCCTCCCTGCGGCGAAGCGGGCAGCCTGGCTGAACTGATCAGCTCCTCCCGGCCGGCCGCCTTCTCTGCAGCGCCATGGGCGCCTCCGCCTCCAGCCTGCTGGACGAGAGCAAATGCAGCTACATCCGAGGTACGCGCGGGGCGGCTGCTGCGCTCGCCGGGAGCCAGGGGCG